TGGGGTGCGGTGGCTCAGAGCTGTCGTGGGCAGTGGGGTGCGGTGGCTCAGAGCTGTCGTGGGCAGTGGGGAGCGGTGGCTCAGAGGTGTCATGGGCAGTGGAGTGCGGTGGCTCAGAGCTGTCGTGGGCAGTGGGGTGCGGTGGAGGATGCCTTCCCTCCAGGGAGCTGCTCTGTCCCCTCAGGCTCCCCAGCACAGCACCGTCAGGCGATGCGTGCTCGCAGCCACATTTCCGATTTTCTCTTGGAGTGTGGAATGCCTTTCACCCCTTTGTGAAGTTACTTTTCATGTCCCTTTGAGAACTGTAGCCCTCGTCTTAAAAACGCTCATGTCGTTTCTGAAAAGGAAGGGGACGGTTGATCAGATTGCTGACTTGCATGGGGCTGCAGGATCTTTTTGTGGGGTGAGTTGCATCGTGTAGGGTAACGTACAGAAAACATGGGCTTTGGGTCAAGACAGATATGGGCCTGCGTCCTGGCCCTGGTGTGATATTGGGCAAGTGTTTTAGCTTTTCTGAGCCTTCATTTAGGGAGCGTTGGTGGCGCTGTGCGTAAAGCACTCGGCTGCTAACTGAAAGATGGCGGTTTGAACCCACCAGCCGTTCAACAGGAGAAGGATGTGGCGGTCTTCTTCTGTGAAGACTTACAGCCTTGGAAACCCTGTGGGGCAGTTCTGCTCTGTCCTGTAGGGTCGCTAGGAGTTGGAATCGACTGTACGGCAGTGGGTTTTTGGTTTGGGAGCCTTCGTTTAACCGTCTGTGAAATAGATGGTAGTAAACCCACCTCATAGGGATACCATGAGGATTTAATCAAAGCTGTGAGCCTGACATGTAATGGACGGTAAACTAAAGCAAGTTTACTGCCATAATCGCTTCAGATCTGGAGACTCCTGTTCTAGCTGAGGTGAACAACCTTCATGTTTCCTGCTTTATATCTAGGAGTGGGTTTATAGGATGAGGGATATAAGGCAGGAAGATTGGGCTTATTAAGACCAAGGAGCCTCTATTTCCTATAAAATGCCGCTGGGTTTTCACGCGAATCCAGTGTGCAGGTGTTGCCCAGAATCTACCTTGACAGCAGCACCCCAGCTCTGGTTGTCCTGTAGGATCCTGGTGACGCCATGAGCCCCAGAAATGATGAGCACTCTGGTCGTGACCTGGTAAATGTGAATCACAGCTTATTTCAAACAAAACGTGTTTAAGACTCGGGTGTAGGTCAGTAGAATCACACTGAGTGGAATAAAAGAACGCCTGACTCTACCTGTGCCGTGTTTGTTCCCTCCTTGGAGAGTGGGGTAGAGCGGTGTTCCCGTCTCTGTGGGCCACCTGTGTCTTGGCCTTGTCATCGGCCGGGTTCTCTGTCCCTCGCTGGCTTACGATGCGTTTCTCTCTTCATAGTGCAGGGTTACAAATCCATATGTTATCTCTGCTGAGGAGGTGGTGAAGGTTAAAGATTTTTTTTATGGTAGGGGTTGGGGGTGGTGATAAAACTTTAACTCTTCAAACTCATGGAAATAATGCACCTGGCCTTGGGGCTGCACTTACAAACCTCTTCATTTTTACTCTAGTCTCTGAATTCCCCCCCCGGGAAGGGAGACCACATCAGCAAATGATCATTAAGACCGGACCATAAGCTTAGGCATAGAAATGAAGTATTTTTTTAAATTATTTCGTTAGGGGGTAAATATGAACATATTTATATATATTACAAATGTGGATATACTAGAATTCATCATCCTGCTTTAATAGTAAATTTCAAAAATATTATTTTTAGGGCATATTTAACAGTGGGCATATTTCGAATATTTGAGAATTAAGGGCAGTCATAGGACATTGAGGTGGAAGCAGTTAATAACAGTGTTTCCAGTTCATTAATGCTTACTGAGCACTTACAGTGTGGTCAGCCCTATGTAAGCTGGCAGTGATACTTGGATGAGTAAGACTCGGCCATTTCCCTCAGGTTGCTCAGAGCTGGAGAGATGTTCTCCGGAGGGCGCTTGCCTTAGTCTTCCCTACATCTCTGCATCTCTTGAGCCTCGTGCTGGGCCTGGCACATTGTAGGCTCTTAATAAGTGTTCCTTGAACAGATCTGCAATCAATATAATGTAGTATGATAAGTATAAAATAAACATAAGTGCAAAAATAAAATAAGAAGAACCAGTCCTACGATACATGTTTTGTTAGCGTGTTTGTGAACAAAGACATTTGTGTTGTGTTGCATGCTGACCTCTGCATTGTCTTATTGTCTTTTAATCCGCTTTTTGCCTGTCCTTTGGTCTGCTCTCATAATCAAGGATCCAGATCTGCTAATCCTGCTGGTGGTAAGACATTCATTCCTCTTCTTGCTCTTTAGTTTGTTTGCAAACTCCCTCCTCCCAAGTCCCCGCACAGTATGAATTTCTTTTGTTATTATAAGCTTAGTTGATCTTTCTGCATTTTTTCTGTTTCAAATTCTAGAGTTTGAAATGGATTTTTTTCTCCATTTTGTTATGGTATAGCAAAATTAATAGGTTCTGAGGCACGTTCTTCATGGTAATGTGTATTAGTGGTTTTTACACTGAATTTCACTTTAAATTGTAGTAAAATCATTATAAAGTATTAGTTTTTGTGAGTAGTCACCTAAGTGATTGATTTGAATGATAGTAATTTTTCTGTATCTGTCTGTCTAATCTATCTATCATTTCCAGGTAAGTATTAATGGTTTTTCCTTTGAGTCATTCTGTTCTAGCACAGAAAAATGCATACTTTACATTTTAGGATATTGCCTCTCTACTTAGGGAGATCTGATCTACATTCTGGTTTATTGCTGTGATGCTTAAAGTTACTGTTTTCTCAATTTTTTTCCACAAGAAAATGGTTCTATAGTTATCTAACATCTTAGCCATTAATAAAAGTTACCAGCCATATCTTTTTGTTGTTTCATTTCTAATTTTATTGCATACTTCTCAGGGAGAGTACTCTGTGATTTCTGCTTTTGTAGATTTTTTTGAGATTTCCTTTGAGGTTTAGTACTGAGTCAGTTTTTATAATATTCATGTGAAATGTGCAAAGTATGTGTATTCTGTTTGTTAGGATATACACACGTGTGTGTATGTGTATTACACGTACATCTACTCCTCACTTATTGACTGTCCCGTTACCCGACATTTCACATTTACAACAATGGTAAAAAATCTATTATCTGACTATTTTGTGCATTAACGACATACATGTGGCAGTAACGAATGCTGAGGTGTGAGGCGAGAGTAACTAACGCTGGCTGTGATGGTTAAGGTTATGCGTCAGCTTGGCTGGGCCGTGATTCTCAGTGGGTTGGCACTTAGGTAATGATATAATTTGCTAGTTATGTAATGATGTAGTCATCCTCCATTTTGTGATCGGATTTGGTCATCCTCCGTTTTCACATAACAACCTGATCTTTGGAACCTAACGATGTCGATCAGTGAGGAGTGGGTGTATATGTAATTTTGACTGTTTGATCAGGCAGTTTCTGAGAGGTATATGAGTCTTTCGTTACTCATTAGTCTTTCTGAGAAAGTATATTGGTAATTATGGCTTTTTAATTTTCTCCCTATATTTTTAGCATTTTTTTATTTTAAAGCTTTGTTATTTGGAGCATAAAGATTCGTGATTATATGCTGTATTTTTACACAAATAATACATGCCTTCTACATTTGTTTGCCAACTGCATCCTGCCCCTGCAGTTTTTTTACATGCTGCTGTAAAAAAAATTAGTATAACATGCTTACGAAAATACCTCACAGGGAGAGGGAGCGATTTGCGAACAAATGTAAAAGGTATGTGTTATTTGCGTAAAAATACAGCATGTTCATGGAGAATTATTCTCTTATCAACATGAAATATACTTTGTCCTTTTAAAATGCTTTTGTATTTATTTTGTTTAAGGTATGTTTGTCTCTTATGAGAACGTATGATTGAGTTTTATCTCATGATTTTAAACAAGTCCAAAATCTCTGTTTCAGTAGATGAATTTAATCTAGCCACATTTATTGTGATTACTGATATGTTTGAGCTTATTTCTTATTTTGTGGTTTGTATTTACCATATTTCTAGGTCCTTTGCCCCTCCTGCCCCTTTTTCTTCCATTTGTGAGATTAATGAAATTTTTGGGGACCCATTTTCTCCATTTGATAGTTATATTTTTACTCTTCCAACAGTTACACTTAAAATTTTTTTGCCATATCAACTCTTTTATACAGTAAAAACAAAACACTAAATAAATATTGCTGTGGTTGTTTGTGGAGATTTACTGTAGATCAAGGAGGCTGCTACTGATACTCAGCTTGCCCTTTTGAGTCAGAAGCTTCTGTGTTTATTTGGGAGAACTCCGTCAGTAATTCTTCTGTGTATCAGTGATATTCTTTTATGTTCCCACATGTTTTTAAAATAAATACTACCATCAGTTAAAAGCTATTTTAGTATTTGATCTAAATTGTGTAAACTAGCTTCTGAAGTGATCGTTTATTCCATGATTTACATTTATTACTCATTTTTGTTCTGCTTGATTTTTAGCTGGCAGCCGGTCGAGTTCCCCAGGGAAATTGTTGGGAAGTGGTTACAGTGGACTTTCTGGGGGGTCCTCAAGAGGCCCACCTGTGACACCCTCCTCAGAAAAACGAAGCAAGATTCCTAGGAGTCAGGGATGTAGCCGAGAAACAAGTCCAAACCGAATAGGATTAGGTAAGGATTCTCAAAGACCTTGGAGTACTGTTACCAAGTTAGTCACAATTTTGATTGCATTCTAATGACTGTGTCTAATATAGAAAATAGAGATCTGTTGTTGAGCTGAATATGTTACTTTGCCTGTGTTAAAAAGACATTTCCATTTTTACTTTACATGGATTATAGCATGTTGAGGTTGGAATCAGAACTGGAAAAATATGTGGAATTTACTGTTCAAATCCATGCGAAGGAATTACATCATTGTAGGCTTTTGCATTTTATAATCAGTTGCAAAACATCAGAAATTGGGTAAATGGGCAGGGTTTTTTCCCTGACAATTAGAAGCAATGTTGCTTTTAATTTTCGATTCACTAATTAGCACTTAGTAGCATTAACCTGTGTAAATTTTCAAAATAATTTTGTAGGGTCCACATTTATTTTGATTTTGATCTTCCCTAACTTAATAAGTGACATTTATGGTCAAATGTGTATATTTGATCATATGTATGTGGTCAAATATATGTGTGTGTGTGTATGTATAGTTACTTTACTGTGTACATATAGTATTTACATATATTTACAAATATATATGTATTTACAGTTACTTTTGACAGACTGTTGAAACATGAAAGCTGGGAATAGTTGAATACCAAATATATAATATTTATTTGTGTGTTATAGGATTTAGTTGCTTTGTAATAGTATGTAGAATTATATGTATTACTCTCAGCATCTTAAAGATTTTTACTCTATTAAAATCTAATTCATATGCTTTTTTTTTTTTTTATAAAAGTGGGAAGTCTTTTGTACTATATTATGAAAAATCTAAGTTCATACTTTTCTTTATTACGTCCTTATCTGCTTTCTAAAGGTGAAAACCTATTAGTGTAAAATGAGAGTACTATTTTATTAGGTTCTGTTGGTTTATCTTCTTCATTCATTTATCTCCTCAACAAATTTTACTTGAATATTTACTTTGACATATCAGACGCTTTGTTAGGCGTTAGAGTTAGAAGATCAGTGAGAAAGATTTAGCTTCTGACTTCAAAAGAGCTTGTGTTCAGTTGGGGAGAGATGAAAATACAAGACCAATAGTATGTCGGGGTGCTCTGGGACCACAAGAAGGAGTGTCTCTAGGCTCCTTGCCCGCACCATCCCTCAGATTTCCTGCTAGAGGAGGCTTCCCAGAACAGGTTCTGTTCTAATGAAGTACAAAGTGGGATCAGCCAGGGTAGGCAGAGATGAGGGAAAGGTTTTCTGCATGTTCCGAAGCAGTCAGGTGCGAGGGAGCAGAATGCATTCTGGAGATCACAAGTGATTCATTGGGCTGCAGTAAAGCAAGTTTGTCAGATGGGAGTGGGGGAGAGAAATGGGGGCAGAGACTGGTCACATCCAGCTCAGGGAAGGAAGCCCGTGCTTTCCAGAGGCAGACTGTTGTAACAGCTCAGATGAGGAGTGACGAAGTCACCCTGAACGAGAAGAGGCAGGGCAGATATTTACAAAGTAGAAATGGAAAGGGTTTGCTTTGAAGTAACATTTCCAAAGCAAGTAAGAAATATAATCAAGCAGTGGTTTTGTTAACTGTTGATAAGCCTGCTTCTATTGGTATTGTGTGACATGGTCCCTGAGCCGGGTGTGAATGTGGACATCAAATTTATATTTGATGCTGTAACATATCTGTGTTTAGGTCTGGTTTTGTTTGGAAAATGCGTTGATTTCACATCTTAGGTGTGAGGTTTCAGCTGTTTGTGAAGTTTTAGCTAATTGTTAAAGTTTGTAGGGTGACTGCGATCTGTGTTAATTTCATGCTTTTAAAAATGCTTTCTTTTTAGAGATTTTGCTTTTTTTATTTATTAAGATGCCATTTTTACCTTCTTCTTGAATTGGGAAGTAACCCACCTTGGCTATCTGCTATACCTCCAAGACCTGGTATTCCGTAGTGTTAACTATGAACCTTGTGCTGTGTGTAGCTGAAAAGCAGCGTTTTACAAGCTTTCGAAGAGAAGTTACTGTGAAGCATCAGTGAGAGCTAAATAGGAGCCCGTTCCCTTCCAAAGAGCTCCTAATCGAAGCATTATTTTTAAGAAAAAGTAATTTCTTTATGCTCATTAAAAATATTAGTTATATGTGAAGCTTTGAGGTCATATGTATAGTTCTGATTAAAGAAGATATTTTATTTAAATATCTGCATTTTTGTAGAAATACACACAGAGAAATATATGCATAAAATTTCCACTTCTTATTCCTGTAGTGCTGCATATAGATTCCACTTTATAGGGGATCAAATGTATCAGTATTTTTTTAGTAATAGATTATATGCTAATGGAATCGTTTAGTACATATAGGGTACGTGGCTACATATGCAAACATATAGTTCATTAAAAAGCAAGTTAAAAAATAATCAAAACAAGGGGGAGCATTTTGAAAGAATACTTTCTATAAAACTCCAAAGCAATTAATTCAGCAGTTTCATTGATAATTTGGCTAGGCTTAGAATTTGCACCGAAAATCAGTTCTAGTTATCTACAATTTATGTTTTGTTCAACAAGGCTTTTTTTTTTGTTTGTGTTTGAAGTTATTTTTCTTAACTGAATTTTCTTTTCTCCGTTTTGATTAAAAACAATGTCAGGATTCTTCTTTAGCATTTAAGGTTTCTTAAGCAAGACAGGATTGATTCCTGTTGGGTAACCTAGAAACAAAGTAAAACCCAGCTGTACTTTTCTCTTGGCAGCTTTGCAACCAAGTGGAGAAAATATATTTTTAAGTTGTTTCATTTTTGTATATTTTATTCTGTTTTTGACAGATAGTAAAAACAAATAGCAAACATTTATAGCAGTTGTATTTAGGAAGTTCTTTCAGCATTGCCTTTTGTTCCCTTCTGTTTTCAAGTTTTCTGGTTAAAAGATATTTTGAAAGAGTTAGAACATTCCTTTTCCGCTGTGAAATTAGAATACTGTGTATAGTAAGACCAAGACACAGAATGCCCGGAGAAACGTTTTATGTCTTTAACATCTGGTAGCTTTATTGATCCTCCTGTGCTTCTGCTTTACATGTGTTTCAGTAGGATCAAGGTTACCAAATCCTTCCCTAAAAGGTAACAGTCAGGCTTACCATTAAAAACACCATAAAAGTAGAATAGTGTCTATTAAGAAATGAAAACCCATCAAATGATTTTTCCAGCTTCCCAGCACTTCATGTAAGCATGACCGAAGATCTACCGAGAGATACTGCTTTTAGTTCCAAAGGCATATATTTTTTTATCATTTCTCCCTCTTCTGTGATGCCTTCTCCTCATAACATATTGTTACATAGAATGTTCAGTTTCAGCACTTAACAAAGAGAAGTTAACATTAGTTTATTGTTTTTTAATTTGACAACCTCATTAATTCCAACCAAAACCCCAACTCGTTGCCATCAAGTCGATTCTGACTCATAGCGACTCTGTAGGACAGAGTATAACAGCCATGGGGTGTCCGAGGCTGTAATCTTGACGGAAGCAGACTGCCACATCTTTCTCCTGCAGAGCGGCTGGTGGGTTCCAACTGCCGACCTTTCAGTTAGCAGCTGAGCACTAACCACTGCACCACCAGGGCTCCTTTTACTCGATTCAACTCATTGCGATCCTACAGGACAAAGTAGAACTGCCCTGTAGAGTTTCCAAGGAGGGCCTGGTAGATTCGAACTGCCGACCTTTTGGTTAGCAACTGTAGCCCTTAACCACTACACCACCAGGGTTTCCACCTCATTAATTAGCTTTTGTGAAAATCATTTATTTATATACTTACTTTAAATCCTCTTTGTAGATTAGTCTTTGGAAGTGGTGTTTTTTTCTTGTGTTCCAAGTTATCCTCTATTTGAACTCTTGACATCACCACTTGATGTACCTTAATGAAGTTTGGGACAGTCACGGGCAGCTTTTCACAGAATTGTCAACAGAAGTGATTCTTTTCCTGTATGGTGCTGCTCAGCCTGAGGTTAAAGGAGCCAGTCAGCGTGAGTGGGCGGCTGAGCTCTTCCTGTGGAATACCAAGAGGGTAAACCTTGTTCACAGTGTGTGCGTGTTGCTGTTTAAGGTCATGTCTGCTTGTCCCTGTTGAAGTTCTTCATTGTCCTCGCAAATAGCACAGCCCAGAGAGAGCAGAGGTTTCCCTTAGTTGTAGCATGTATATGAATTTAAGGAAGGGACTGGGGACTGGATAAAAATTCAGAAGTAACTAGGCAAGAAAGATAACAAAATGCTCACCTAAGCATTCACATACATGAAAAGCTATCAGAACTGTTTATTGTTTTTCGATTATGTCTTTTGGAGTAGACAGGGAATAAAACAAGATTTTCTCATACGACTTTCTGCAGGGAAATCCAAAAAAAAAAAAACCCAACACGATTACTGTCTAGTTGATTTGGACTCATAGTGACCCTACAGGACAGAGTAGAACTGCCCCATAGGGTTTCCAAGGAGCACTTGGTGGATTCAAACTGCTGACGTTTTGGTTAGCAGCCCAACTCTTAACTGCTGTGCCACCAGGGTTTCCACAAGGAACTCAGACATCCTTATACGTGTCCATGATCTCACAGTGTGCTTCTTAGTGAAACGATGGGACTCCTTCCTGTTCCTGACTTTCCTGTGGAGGGGCTGATGGCTGGCCCGGTGAGTTAGCACAGAACTGCCGAGACCATACCATCCCTCAGAGTGCAGTGTCGGTCCCTAAGGATGAGCAGTATTGCTTGTTGGCCTCCAGGAAACTTGTCATTTATTGGTGGAGCTCAGTAGAAACTTCCAGCTTTGTAATGCGTTTAACTTAGCACCTACTGCTCTCGCCCTTGTTGTTGGAACCCTTTAGAGTGTCATCGGGAATTGCTGATTATTTAATAGTGAACAGTCACTGCCACTCACAGGGAAAACTCATGCTTCTGTGTCTCTACTGCAAATAAAGGAGGGTTTAGGAACTCCTAGAATGTCCAGTGAAGCCCTGTATTGACCGAGGGCTCCGATGGCCCCTCCTTGCCACTGCAGACCT